TATTTATTGAAATAAATATGATTCGTCTATGTTTGCAATCAAGTGAAAAATTCTTGATTATTGAATTGTTTACCAAGCTTTGTTAAGTAAATAAATAAAATTATTAAATTCATATAATATAATATTAAAAAAAGGGGTATTTAATTATTGTGGTTTTTTTTAATGCATTTTATTATTTATTTGATTTCAGTGAGTTTACAAGACTTTTGCTGTCCCTTTACAAATTATATCTCTACAATTTGCTCTTTATCGAAGCGATACCACTTAAATTAAATCAAATTAATTTGCTTTGCAGTCTAGACGTGAAATTTATTTTATATTTTACATTTCGATTGCACAAACACTTTACCAGTGAGGCTCATGTCTTCCGAAATTATAGCCATAGCCGAACCACGCTTCAGGACTGCTAGTGGGGGGTCTTCGGGGTGGTGTATGGGTGGCGAAGTCCGCTGCTGATCCTGCCTTAGGTGTCGAAGATGCAGCTGACCCACCAACTTGCCCTTTATTCTTATTGAATACCGAATCCCACCATCTTTTGATCGTTCCACGCTCGGGCTTTAATTCGTATTTAGCTCGGCGGCATTCGTTCAAGCGTACATTCATGACATATCCATACGGGCATCTGGCCGTACGCTGACCTATATCTGCCACGCAACTGTTCGAATGAGGGTTCCAGGAAAAGCCCGGAGCACATTCATTCAAGGACCTATCCACTTCATTCACAAATCTCTGCTCCAAGTCTAACGGCGATACGCTTCGCGGCAGCAAGAGGCCCTCATTCGGCAACAGAATGTGGGGCAACGCTGCAGCCAATTCCGTATTTGCCACCATTGCGAGATAACTGATATGGCTCTGGTGCAACGCCCTATATATATAGACTTAGTTTTGATGCCTGACCGTAATGAATGTACTTATCCATTGCGAATTTCCCCCATCGCAACGAAAATAACGTATAGAATATAGAGCATATTGGAGCTATCATTAAGGGRCAATTTCCAAATTRGAGAATATATTAAAATCCAAATCATTCAAAATCAACRGACGGCTCTCGATTTTCGATTCATTGAGAAGCAATTCAAAATTATCATTCTAGATCTAATTTGTAATCAASAAAAGCCTAATCTGATTTGATCTTTCAGTTAAATGCCMCATGGATTRATATAGTGTAATACGATTTCGTTCTTATTAGGCTGTCAAGTCAAACGTCGCAATAGAGGATATTTCATATCAGGCATGCAATGCAAATCATATTTAGCTGGAAATCGAAATGCATTTGCCACGGTCAGGCAGAGT